CCCTCTCTTCTTTCTTCCTCCCTCCCTCCCTCTCTCTCTCCCTGTCTTTCTTTCTTTCTCTTTCTTCTTCCTCCCTCCCTCCTTCCCTCCTTTCCTTCCTTCCTTCCTTCCTTCCTTCCTTCCTGCCTTCTCCTCCCTCCCTGTCTCTGTCTCCCTCTCTTGCTCTCATCCTTTCTCCTTCCCCTCTTATCTCTCTGAGATACTGCCTAAAGTTGGTTCTGTAATCTGTATCCACCCCCGTTTTCCAAAACATGAAGTGATTTCCACTTTCCTGCCATTTGCCTCTGCAGTATCTCTGTGATTAATTCCAGCCATATTAGGTGATCCTGAGCAGCAACTGCACAAGGCACTGTAAAAAGACAAGTAAATGTTGTGTATTTTAGGAATCTTTCAAAGTCATTTGGCTGAATCCCCTGGACAGTTGCATTTATATAGACCAGACTTTACATCCCTCCTCTGCAATAGAATGTAACAGATACTTTGTTTTAATTTGCTTGTTTTTTCAAAGCTTTGTTCCTTGAGTGTGTTTTCATTTTCTCCAAACTGAGATCCCCACAGCTCTGGCTATTGCAGAGTTGTGAATTCACTGTTGGCCGTGTCTAGTGTGAATAGGATGAGCTTCATCAGGTTGTTAGTAGGTACAAATGGAACTGCAGAATTCTGTTTTAAAACAAATATCAGAACTGTACCAAAGAGAAGAGAATCTCTGAAGAAATTTTTTTTAAATGACCTCTGAGATTAGTTTTTCAAGTAATTTCATTTTCCAGGGGAAATGTTCTGTGATTTTCCTTGGTACTTTTCAGAGGTCTCTTCATGACTCCTGAGTTTCTTGACTGACAAGAAATGAGGTACATTTCAGGTGATAAAATAATGAGAACACCTGAGGGATTACATTTATGGATAGGAAAGTAAACCCAAATGTTTCAACATACATTAACTTCTTTCCTGTTTAGATTTCCCAGTGTTGTCTTTTCTCTCAGATGGGCACCAGATGCATCCCTCCATTCTCCCAGGCCGCTCTGTAGATGTGTGTAAAATAATGCATGTCGCCATTAAATCTCTTGGGGCTGTTTTGCTTCCACAATAACCTACTGCAGGAATCTTATAGTTTCACTGAGACCTCTTCTTCGCTTACATAAAATGTGCAGGAAATCCAAGGTAAACACAGCAGTGTCAGTCTCGAAGATAGGCCGTCCTCTCACCTCTCCTGTATGTGTTGATGGAGTCTTCTGTTCCGTACCTTCTTCCTTTCTCTGCTGTTCGTCACCCTGGCAAGGCTTTTGCAGTCTTCTGCGCTCCTCACTATGCTGTCCTTTCTTCTAAACTCAAAAGCAGTGTCTGATGCGGTTGGTCTGCCTGGTCGCATTCTTCCCTGCTTTATTGCCTGAGGAATTAAATTCCAGCTTGTCCTCAGCGTTCTCCACCCTCCTGCCTCTCCTCCCCTTGTGCACGGCCTGATCCTCATTCAGAGTATCCTGCTGGTCACTAACCTGCATTTCCTACATGTTTCTCATTTTTAGGCCCCTACTCATTCTATCATAGCTTAAATGAAAAGAAATGGGAAAGGGGAGAGATAGCAGCAGCCTCTGATGACACTCTGCAGGTCAGGACAACCCCCTGCCTGGAGCTTGAATTGACTTGCAGGATTCAAAGATATCAAGCTGAGATACATATACGCATGCCTTCAGCCAAGGTGGATAAACGGAACTTCAGGGAGCCAAGTACCTTCTGTGTCTGTACTTGGTGAAAAATCTTTAACTGTACAACAACTTTTGAAAATCCTTCATGGGCCCAATAAACTTGAACTGCAAAACTGAGGTATCAAACCTGAGTGTCCCTTCAAACCTCTGGTGTGTCCTTCCATCCACGGTCACTTTCCTGTACAAACATACATGGTTGAAAAATGTCGCTTGGCTATTTCCCATGGTTTAGTGTTTGTAAATGTCCTGCCCATTTCTTCCCGGGAGACTGCAGAGCTCATCTTCTTTCAGCCTGTGCTACTTTGGACTATTTTGGGATTGCATTTTGTTTGGCCAATCTGCTTCAGTAATCATACTTTTTAAAATTAAAAGTTACTTCTTTATGTGTGTGAGAAGGAGAGATAGTAGGGATTCTGTTTAATATTCTATAATTTTATTTGCCCAAATGAAAAGGGGTCAGAGCTTGGTAGTACTTCATGTGGATGATGACTTAGCATTTTCAACCGCAAATAGGTCCAAATAGATTTTATTGGCTAAGATGACAGTATCTTATGCTGCTGCATCAGAAGTTACTGTTTACATATCCGTTTTGACACATCCAATAAACCCTTCATTCTGTACTGATGGAGTAAATATTTAAAGTGCAGGGTTCGGACATTGCTTAGATTGTGACTTTCATTTAATGATACCACTGCGGCCTGCTCTTGGGACTGCTGTGTCTGCAGTTGTGGGAATGCCTCTTCTATTTCACTGAGTTCTTCCAATTTTGTGTATATAATCCCTAAACCATAGTCGTTTCTAGTAACCAGTATTAATTCTTTTCTTGTCTATTCTAACATCTCATTTATGTATTATTTTTTATCCTTGCCTAAAATGGTTGTAAAAGCTAAAAGGCTTGCTGTCCAACTTAAACCACTCTTCGAATTGGATCCAGGGTGGACCTAGGAAATTTTACCTAACAGTGGACATGGAAAAGGATGAGAGTGAAATGCATCATTTTTAAATATAGTTCATCCAAGGAGAGTTAATCCTTACATTTTTAAGATCCATGAAACAGAAAATAACTTGTTTTTGCCTATTTAATTCTGTCAGAGACGGAATGTTTGAATGTACCAGTGGTCTGGTGCCAAGTGGGCTTAGGGTTTTGTTTATGTTCTTAGATTCACAGAATTTTAGATGTGGAAGTGACGTTATGCTAAAATTGGATAGTGTCTGTCAGATCCCCTTTCCTTCAGTGGGATTTGTCGTCATTATCATTTGTTTCTACAGTAACTATCACCCTCTGACTTAGCTATGCTCCTTTACTAGTCTGTCAGTCAGTCCTCTGCAAAGGCCTGTGCAGTGATCCTGTCCTCCTATGTGTGTCTGTCTCTTTGGAGTATAAACTGTAAAGGTAGGAAATAATGCCTTGTACCACCTACCTCCCAGTGTCTAGCTCAAAGCTTGGTAGGCACGTAGTGAAGATTAGCATCTTCAGGGTAACAACAACAGCAACCCCAGATCTCAGTGTCTGAAGACAGTCCCATTGGCAGGGGCCTGCGTTGCCCTCGTTTGGGAGGATAGGCAAACAAAGCTCTACACACTTTGATGGAGGCCAGTCATCTTAGCAAGGGGAAAGAAGTGAATCATGCTCTGCCTGTGGATGTTTGAGCAGGGAACTGACAGGTCACTTTCTCTAATATTTCTTTGATCACATAAGTGACAGCCACATGCATCATCTTGGCGATGAGGCAGAACCACCTACTATGTTCCTGAAAGAAGACCTGGATGATTAGTGACTCACACAATGCCTGCTAAGTAGATAGCTGCTACCTGGTGCTTAATACTTATTTAGTGAATAAAGAGTCCAAAACTATCTCCTGAGATTTTCACTATTTTCTATGCAATAAGCAGAACTACTTCAAATGAAATATTCTAGTAACTACATTTAAAAAAATGAAGATACTGTGTTGTCTAAGCCAAGTTCAGCAAACATCTGGAGACTTCAGGTAACCATTTTGTTAGCTTTATTCATATTGAAGAAGGTACTATATCTGATTTTTTTAGTTTTTCATATGCATAAGGGATATAATGGATAAATTAGTGTAATTAACATTCTTAGAGTCAGCAGAGGTAAAAAATATTGGTCTTCAAATATTTGCATATTAAATTAGTATGTTTTTAAAATGTACATTATATGAATACATTTACACTTTATATTTTACAGTTCCTATACATAATTGTGTAATATTTACTCATGTGATATGATATAACATGTTCAACTTGTTTTCCTACTTTGGCATTTGGAGTGTTTGATCCGTTATAATAAATAACACTGTCATGTCTTCAGGATCCATCTATTTCCTTGCTTCCTCAACCCTGAAATATTTAACGCGGGAGAACTGGCTAATGCTTGCAGGGATTTCAGTACGATAAACCAACTGGAGATGCAATTAGCTCAGAAGAGAAAGGACGCAGACTAGTGGCTGTTTGTGTTCCAGTGCTCCATGGAAGCATGTTGAGATATGTCTCAAGCGAGGCTGGTGTCGCTTTCAAGTTCAGAAGTGGAATTAACAGACCAGTGCTGAGAGGCACATTATCAGGAAGGCAGAGAGGATAGTGGTCCTGAGGAGCAAAGACTTGGCAAGAGCCAGCTGGCAGGGCCTGGTCCTCTGGGAGCCAAATCTAATGGAAAAACCTTGTTTTTTGAGGTATACTTAGAAATGTATACATTGTGCATGTATCCATGCAAGCAGGGCTTTCGGGGTTCCGTTAGAAGGGTGGATTTTGTACAGTATCATAATAAGTGCAGTACATTGGACTACTAGGGAATTTGAAGAATAAAGCACTTTCAGGTTTTTAACATATGCTTTCCTGACCATGTGGCAAAAATTTGGAGGGCCTGTTTATAAATAACTGTTTATAAAAAACTGTTAATAAATAACTGTCCTCAACTGTCACCTACCTGCCTCTTTCTGATGTGCGCAGGAGTTTTAAATCTTCTCGTTAAGAATGTAACTCCCACAGCTCCCTGTTAAAGAATTTTCTAACCCTCATAGTCTTAATTAGTGTCTAACGTAAAATTGTCTTTCTCTGCCAAAATGTGAGTTTATCTCCTTAGGACTATTTTTGAGCAGCTGTGATTCCAGCAGAGTCATCTAGAGACATTCACTAGTCATCCAGAGTCATCTTAGACAGTCACTAGGCAGGAACTCAGGAAGCAACACCTGGTTCTCCAAGGATGAGAACAGCGAAGGGAAATTGGTTTCTCTTTAATACACTAGTCTAATTTTACAGTATTGCTTGTTAGAGATTTCTTTCCTTCAAATATCATTGCTGTCCTCTTGAGTTATTTTTGTTTTGTGCAAAAATTATCCCTGATCAGTGGCCCTTAGTCCGCAGTTTCCAGTGCAATTTTAATAGAAAAAAAGTTTGCGTGTGTTTGTTGCGTTAGGTCAGATTGCAAGGCCATTTGTTCAAAGGGAAGACTCATAAGTGGTTGTTCATCTTAAATCTTTTTCGCTAAATAAAACCATTTTTTTCTTTACAGATCGCTGCAAGACTATGGCAGAGTGTAGCTGCATGCAAAAACAGGCGGACTTACAAAATGGTAGCTTAGAGGAAGGCTTTGTGGTGAACTCCTTGGACACCCGTCCCCCAGACATGATGGAGAACCTGAACTCAAAGAAATACTCTTCCAGTCTGAAATTTAAAGCCAATGGAGACTATTCTGGCTCCTATTTAACCCTCTCACAACCTGTGTCTGCTAAGAGAAGCCCTTCCCCTTTGGGCGCCAGTGTCAGGAGCAGCTCCTCCTTAGCCAAAATCCATGGAAGCAAGCAGTTCTCCTGCGATGGAGGTGACAAAAATATTTCCACAAAGCCTCCCACTCCCTCACTCAATGCTACACCCTCCCTTGGTGGCTATCCACTTGGGAGAGCAGATTTTGATCATTATAGTGGTCGGGATAGTGAAAGGTCCTTGAGGCTCTCAGAGAAACTTCCTTATTCCAAATATAACTCTAGAAATAAATCGCATGACAGTGTGTACTTTCTTGGAGGATTGGAAGGGAGAAAGGCATCTGGTTCGCTCCTGACCATGTGGAATGGAAGTACCCTTAGTGACTACGGCCAGTCTCCCATCAGCAGGTCGGGGGCAGCAAGCATGCCTTCAAGCCCAAAGCAAGCCAGGAAGATGGGCATGCAGGACAACCTGACTCTTCAACCCCAGGTAACCAGACACAAGGACCCCGCATCTGAAAGCATCAGTTTAAGAACTAGGAAGTACTCAGGCGGCAGCCTGAGTCACATGGGCGCCTATAGCCGATCACTTCCCAGGTTGTACAAAGCCACAGAGAACCAGCTGACGCCTCTCACCTTGCCTCCAAGAAACTCTCTGGGCAACTCCAAAAGAACCAGACTGGGGGAAAAGGATCTACCTCATAGCATCGTAGACAATGACAATTACCTTAATTTTTCTTCTTTAAGCTCTGGGGCTTTACCCTATAAAACCTCTGTGTCGGAGGGTGCTCCTTATGTAAGTTCCACCCTCAGTGTGCCTGCGAGCCCTCGAGTGGCTCGGAAGATGCTTCTGGCCTCTACCTCCTCCTGTGCCTCTGATGACTTTGATCGGGTGTCCTACTCGGGAACGAGCTCGAATCACTCCTTTTCTGCTGGAGAACCAGACAGAGTGTTGGTGGCCAGGAGGAACTTCTCCTGTGGCTCTGTGGAGTTCGATGATGCTGATTTGGACAGCCTCAGACAGGCCTCAGGAACCCCCCAGCCTGTCCTTCGGGAACGGAAAAGTAGCATTAGCTCCATTTCAGGACGGGATGACCTGATGGATTATCACCGGAGGCAGAGGGAGGAAAGACTCAGGGAGCAGGAGATGGAGCGGCTGGTAAGCTTTCTCTTCACCTCATTGTTTCATTGACTTGTGGTCTGCAGGCAGCCTTGGAGACAGACACCCAGGGTGTACGCCGGGGTGCAGTTCTCCTGCGCACCAGCCACTGCTCTCGCTTCCTAGCAAGGGGGATAACCTCTGTCCTGTTATCCAGCCTCTTCCCTGGTCAGTATGGGTGGGCATGTGTGAGCATTTTGAAGGCCTCCAGGAGCCTGATATTCACTGAGTTGTTCTGCAGAGCTCTCATAACTATAAGTTCTTGAAAAAGCTAAAATTAGGGGAAGTAAGGATTTTACTGAATTTCTTGACAGCTTACAAAGTTTTCTATTAAGACAATGGGGAAATACCGATTTGTATTAGTATATCATTACATTTGCATGTATATGATTATAACAGTAGTCAGTGAAATCAGGACTCATTGGGAATTAGGCAGTGAACTTGTCTATGTAGCAGTTGTCTAGGAAGTGGAAACAACCCTTCAGTGGTGCCTCAGCGATGCTTAACTTTTCTCTGTACTGTTCACACACGCCTCAAAATCTCTTCTGGTTTATTTCTTAGCATGTATACTGCATTTGTGTCAAAGGTGTATGAGACTGGATGTGTTGGACTTAGGACCAAATCTGACTTACGAATGTTCTCCTGCAGTGGAACTTATTCATAAGTCAGGGCCTTTCTGTGGACATCAAAACTACACACACTCACAAAGCTTATTACCCTTTTTCATTTCAAGTGAACTGATGCTTAAAATGCATAATACTGTGTTACGGCTTGCATCTAAATGTTCCCCCAATGCCTCTGTAGTCACAGGTGAGGCTTTCTCAGAGGTGGTAGAATCTAGAGTGTGTGATTGATGCATGGTACAATGCTACGATTAAGGATGCTAAGATTAAGAGTGGGTGATTACTAAATGAATCTACTGATTGGTTTGTCATCGCCCTAATCCTAGTAGCCTGGATAAAATATAAGGGACAAAAAGTGGCTTGCCATATCTGTTGCTTGCTTGCTTGCTTTGCTGCCTTCTGCCTGCCATGAACTATTTCTCCTCTGGAATGCCTGTCTGCTCTGCCACCTTGCTTTGGAGCCAGCTGATTATGGACTGAAACCTCTACAAACTGTGAACTAAATAAACCTTTCACCCTTAACTTGTGGATGTTGAGTATTTTGTCTCAGCAATGAGCAAAGTAAGTGAAACATACTGAAAATAAGATAATAGGAAGCATGTCTTGAGAGTTCCACTAATGAATGGGAGTGAGGCACTATGTTTTCCAATTCTCTATAAAGCATAGGTTTTCCTTTATAATGAATATATGTAAGGGGTTATTTTACTTCATTAATGATTAATGATTTTCATAATGAGAGAAGCTTGGGGTGGTAAAGTTGGTTTACAAAAGTATAGGATTATCAGAAGTAGCTTAGTTACTTAAAGAAAGTGTGTAGCACTTAGATTTTTGAATCACATCCAAAATGAGTTAGTGCTTCCCAGTACAATAAAATTGTAACCCTTGGGTCACAGTTCACAAAAACTATTTATATTTACTATTGGACAAAATTTATTAGACATTTTACAACAAGAATCATTTGTGTCACTGAAAATTCTTGGTAAGCCAATGTCTATCTTTGTGGAGCATCTACATATCTTAACTAATAATGGTTAAAGAAAACAAATGCATATACTGCTAGAGAGTTAGATATTCTTTGGGTGGATCAGTTACACAGTGAAATAGTACAATAGTCCCCTTTGCTATCATAAGTAATCTCCAGAGATTATTTATGGCCATAAAAAGCACATTGTGTTCAGGCTGATTCATTGACATATATTCAGAAGTTTTAATTAGCATTTAAAACATCTTCTTGTAGATGGATTGCAAACATAATGCTGTACTGTGTTGAGGAATTATTAATAAAGCCAGGGAATTAACTCTGTTTAATAATTTAGTAAGGAACCTGGGAGAGTATTGTCCATGAATTTCATCACTTCAGAAATCTTCCTTAACTTATTTATTCTTCTGTCTTTAGAATAGGAAATCAAACCCTAGAAATTCATCTGCACTGGGTTTTGCATTTAGCATCTATAAAATGTTAAATTTCTAGTACAACAGTAATAGTAATCTGATTTGGGGTTTGCTCCCTGGGTGACCTGTCAGCTAGAGTCTCTAAGTCTGTGAAGGTTTCGGCAGTGCAGGAAGTGTTCTCTTGTGGTGCCTATGCGGTCAAGACCCTGTAAGTCATAAGGAGGTTCATCTGCTTGGGAGACCTTTGTGGATGTTTCAAATATTAAGCTACAATATTTTTCCTTAGTAGTGTGCTTGGCATATCTGCTGCAGTGAGGCTTGTTTTTAAATAAAACACTCTAGATTTGGCCTTGGTTGTACTGTGTATTTGAAAAGGGGAAGATAACTTTATATTAACAGATATGATAGGCAAAGAATGATATTGCCTTTAAAAAGTAAAGTAATTCAAAAACTTTCTTCCTGAGTTCTGAGGGATCAGTGAGGATCAGCCTCTATTAAAACGTATGTATAATATATGTATTTCATTCATTTTGCCAATCAGTTTCAACTAATTTGAGGGTGATACGTCAGGATGAACATTACAGGATGTCCTCATCAAAAAATAAACCATTCTAACTAATACAAATAATATTCCAAAACATATCCACATTAGAAATTTGATCTCTATTATCAGTTCAGATGGTTTAGTATAATTCTCATTCCTCTGCATCTTGGGCCATCAGCTTGATTTCATGAAGTCATTTATTTCTGGACTAAAAAGAGTCTTAGAACTTTGGTTTAGCTTTTTAGTACTGCCTCATTCTTGTCTTGGCCAGCTCATCTTAGAAGCTTCTGTCCTTAAGTCTGGTCTCTGAAATATCAGGAGTTAACGGTACCTGTTACCATCCTATCCTTGAGGTTCCAGAACTTTCTTTGCTGAAGTCACATCTAATTCTGTAGCTTAGGCAGAGTCTTTATGCCAGCTCCAGAGGAACTGAGACAGCACTTGGTGAATGTAAGAGTAAGTAGCTAGGGTGAATTTATAGTTTATTTAACAGTGTCAGCATGAAGGAGAGCTAAGATCCTTTATCAGGTTGTTTTTATTTAATCTTGTTTCCCTTGAGGGCAAAAGCATATTACAGTGAGGACACTGACTTCTTTCTGCTCAGGGGCTTCCTATAAAGTACTGTATGCACGCAATTTTAATTGTTTATAATTTTACTGCTGCAAAGTTATCATAGGAAAGACTGAACATTCTCATTTCATTTCTAAAATGTCCCTATGCAATTCTCCTTTTTAAAATTAACACATTAATGGTTTTTGCTGTGGCATTTCCACGTATGCGTATATCATGGATTGATCATTCTTGGGCTGTTTATAACCAAAAAGCCTAACAAACAAACCTATTTATTTCTAGTGGGATTTTTTTGTGAGGTTAAAGAACAAATTTTAAAGTAAAACTTCAAGACAGTTTAGGTGTTGGGTATCTTGGAAAATTTTTTTTCTTGAATTTAAGGTTTATCTGATCTTGGAAGGGCAAAAATTAATATTAATTGGAAGAGATTTCTTCACTTGAATAGTGTAGGATTGTGGATACCTCAGACCAGTGTGTGTTTGTAGTCTGTCTATTTAATAATCAAAGTGACCATAGATTATTTTTAGTAAATAAAGTATCTTAAGTCATTCAAAAATGAAGGACTTTTGTTTCAAATAAGCAAGGATATATTAAGGATAGCACAAAGCACAAAAATTTCTCTTATACTAAATCTGTGCTTTCAGGGCAGATTATGTAGCAGAATAAGCTTTGATTACCTTTTAAAAGTATAAGCTACGTTTCCCAAGAGTAATTTTGTCACGTCAATGCAGACAATTGCATTTTAGTTTTATATTATTAGTGTGTTTGTCACACTTTATGTTTTTCATTGCTTTAGGAATAAACTCACCAAAATAGTGTAAATTTTCCCACAATTTTGACATTTTATTACTTCTTCTCATAGACACTATTTGTATTATAAACCAAGTCAAATTAAGATGCCTGTCTACAACAAACCTACAATTTTCTACTTACATCAACTTCTGTCACCCCTTCACCCCTGCCTCTTTTTTGGGGGTAGGGGTGGGTGTTCTCTTTCACATTCCAGAAATATTTAGAAGTTAGCAATTGTTTTTACATTTTTCTTTTTTTTCTTTTTTTTTTTTTTTTTTTTTTTTTGAGACAAGGTCTCACTATGTCCTTTAGGCTGGCCTTGAGCTCACTTTGTAGCCCAGGCTGGTCTTGAGCTTGTAACAATCCTCCTGCCTCAGCCTTCTGAGTGCCGGGATTACAGGCATGTGCCACCATGCCTGACAGCAATTGTTTTTTCAAGCTAACATGTAACAAAAATGTAATTACTATTTATGTAAAAAAGTTTGTCACAAAAATAATAAAGATATGAAGCAATGCATGGATTAATTGGTTCATTGGTTTTTTTTCATTGGCTCATTAGCCATTGGAAAGTGTATGCATATTTTAAAATATCATGCTATACAGCATAAATATGTATATTTATACTTACCAGGTTTCGTTATATAGTTCAGGCTGGCCTTGAACTCACGATGAAGCCCAGGCTGGCTTTGTTTTTTGTTTTTTGGGGGGTTTTTTGGTTTTTTTCGGGTACCAGGAATCGAACTCATGACCTTACGCTTGCCAGGCAGGCACTGTACCGCTGAGCTAAACCCCCAGCACCCCAGGCTGGCTTTAAACCTGCAGCAGTCCTCCTGCCTGAGCTTCCCTGGTGCTGGGATTACAGGTGTGTGCCACCATGCCCAGCTTTTTTTCTTAATTTTATGGATGTAATCTTTGTTTATATATTTGCAGTAAATTAGAACATTTAAGGAGTTCAGATAAACTAGCCTCTTCATGGTAAAACAAATATAAATCCAGTATAAAAAATGAAATTATACTTGTATTAATTATACACTGAAAACAAAATGTATAGCTACTTTTTAAACCAAATTATCAAATCT